TATATGTGTAATTTACATCCCCCCCACCATATGCATGTATAAACACTGCATTTCATTTGCCACAGTGTTACCTGTTCACCCTTGGTTTGTTTTTTCTGAAGTTCCTCTAACCTGAATAACCCTTTTTTGTCAGCATTGAAACTAAGGATATGGCTTCATGAAAAAAATACTATGATATGAACTTGCAAGTTAACTATTCTGTAGTACCTACCTGTAAGTGCAGCCTTACTTCATGGTATATATGATGTAGCTTGTCCCTCAATGAAAGTGGATTAAGTTATATGCAGATACTATAAGGTAAGAGCACTTCTGCAGGAAGTTACCGTGGAGGAGCTAACACACTGTGTGAATTCCCACCATCACTTACCTTACTGTAACTTGTTTGTATGGTCGTGATCTTCATTTCTGTAGTATCCATAGTATTCTCTTCCAAGAAGCTTTGAAAAATGGCTTTTTGAAACTTTAAATAAATTATGTTAACCAGTTCTTCAAAGACTGATTTATTGATATGTTCAAGAATTCTGGGAGATTCATCAGGCATATTCCTTCTTCACAAGCAGATGTGCTCCTTGAAGCAGTTGCTGGTGGTTTCACGAACTGGAGTTGCACATGGTGCTGAATCTCCTCCTTGCTTCAAGTTGTTAATTTGAGTAGAAAGACAAATATACTGAATATGCTTTGACTTTGATTTAAACTGTTGTCACCCTGGATACATTAGATTGTTTTCCCCTTCCTATCCTCCTAGTCAGAACCTCTCTCTTAAGAGGTGGACTCTAAATATGTTTGTAAACCCCAAACATGCTATATTTGGTTTGAACTGGCTGCACAGAAATATTTTTATTTTTATGGGTTAGAAGTCCAATTTCTGAGCAAAATGTTATATAAAATATTAACGTAGTTTGTATGAACTTTAGAGAAGACTGGAGGTGGTTATTTATTAATTGCAGGATAATTAATTGCAGAATCTGCCTTTGTTGCTAGAATAATGAAAATATTTATACTATATTTATTTATTTATTTATTTATTTATACTATAGATGAAACTCAGATCACTTGAAAATTGACTTAAATCTTTAAAAAAAACCCATACATTTTGTTGTACAATATTCAGAAATGTCAGATATCAATGAAAGTATTAGCTTACAAAAGTTGTATTCTTTAATCCAATGTAGGTGCTATGGCTGCTTCACCTTGGATGTTGTTGGCAGTGTGGCTTTTGGTACTCAAGTGGACTCTCAGAAGAAGCCTGATGATCCCTTTGTTAAGAACTGCAAGCAGTTATTTGAAATTTCATTGCTCAGACCTATCCTAATTCTCACCAGTGAGTATTACCCACCTTTACTCTTTCATATTAGCTAGTTTTTAGGTACCATTCTTGAGTTACAAAACTTCTGAATTGCAAGCAAGAAGGAAGTACTGAAGGCAGGATTTTTTTCTGCCTGGATTTCTAGAATAAGGCCTACAACCACTTGCCTTTAGTACAGATTCCTGTAAAAAATGAGTCTAAGAAGGCAAGGTTTCCTCTTGATTTGCGTGGAAAGCTGCTGGGACCCACAGTTTTTGTGGGTTACACTTCTGTATTAAAAGTGCATGACTGCAGTATAAGCCATGGCCCTTTGA